CAGAGGCGGTAGCAGCGACGACCGTCGAGTAGGACATACAACTGACAGGGATGCATACTTGAAGGAGTTGACCATCGCCACTCACCCGAATTTCCTCAGGATTTCGACGATTTGCGCCACAGTCGAGCGCTTCTGCCCGATAGCGACATACACGCAGTACCTAACAGGAGTCTCCAAAGCGATTATCATCGAGATGTACTTACAGATGTTTGGTAGGGTCGGGGTTCTCATTCACTTGTTTCTGGTTCAGGATGGTATCAACAGCGATGGCAGTCTTCCCGGTTTGGCGATCACCAATGATAAGCTCACGCTGCCCACGGCCGATGGGAATTAGGGAGTCCACAGCCTTGAGACCAGTGCTCATAGGCTCACTCACAGATTGGCGTGGGATGATGCCAGGGGCCTTCACTTCGACACGACTGCCTACAGCACAGAGACGACTACAACGACTTCACTTCGAGGGACAGGCCACGTACGGAGTTTGGCATTGATAGGACCCATATCATCGATGGGGTTACCGAGACCGTCGACAACTCTGCCAAGGAGCTCCTTGCCGACAGGGACGTCCACAATAGCCTTAGTGCCTGAGGCAAGGGGAAAGATCTCTACGAGTGGAAGAGGGTGGTGACTCACGCTTAACGCTGTCACCCTCGAGGATGTTGCGATCCTCACCGAATACCACAACACCAACATTGTCGGTTTCCAAGTTCAAAGCCATGCCCTGAGGACAGAAGCATCACTCAACCGACGAGAGCTCGTGTGGCGTACCTTCAAACCGCAGGAGAACTCAACCATTTCACCAGCTTGGACGTTGTTAAGGCCGTAGATACCTAAGGGGGGCTTATGGTAAGACTTGTGATGAAGGGCGACTTACGAGCAATGCCATCAGCGACTGACAGGACCAGGCCGACCTCGTCCACGTCCTTGTGGTCCTTGAAACCAGCGATACGCTCCTCGAGAATGGAAGTGACCTCTGCCGGGGATACCTGCCGTCGAGTTGGCTTAGTCTAGAGAGGGAAGTGGATGGTGCTAACCTTGGCAGCGAATCGAGGAGCGGTGGTGTGAAGTAGTCGAGTTGTGGTATAGAGGCGACCGAGGCTGGCTGTAGTAGCTCGGAGAGAGGCCCCGCGAGTGAGAAGTCGAGAGAGCATCACAGAAGTGGGAAGGAGAAAAAAAGAAGGTGTCGACAACCGAGACCCTGAAGGGGACTTGATGAGGTCAATCCCAGCAATAGCGGGGCCCAACATGAACAGGGTAGGAGGGATCGAAAGCGAGCACGCAAACGGAAATTCACCACCGCTCGAAATAGCCCGACGGTCGCAGAAGAGAAATGCATCACCACAGAGTAGACGGGAGGGAGCGAAGCCCCAAGCGGGGACGCTCGAGGCAACTCATTAGAGGCCAGGGACGGCCTTATCGTGGCGATGTGGTGGTGTTGATCATCACAAAGAGAAAAACGACGACAAAGGCTGCCGAAATTAAGGACCCGTAAGTGCGCAAGATTAGTCGAGTTCTTGAGACTAATCAGCCCCGTGGAGTCGAAAACTCAATTTCCTAGGTCGAGTTGGTCGACGACCAATGGTCGCGCAAAGGTATTTTGAGGTTGGAAAACGATCTGAAATTCTTCGCAGTGCGGTCGATGGTGGCGACAGGAGAATCTTTGTGAAAACGACGACCGACTGTCAGGCCCCTTTTTCTAATGATTAATATCGTCATAATCTCACCCGCTCTTCTTGCGGCCGCTGACGCCTTTCCTAGTAGCAGCTTCAACCGTGTCGTTATGGATGACCTTTGTGGTCGCCACAGTGCTATTCTCGATACCGTCTCGGGAGAAGATCGTGAAGTGATGAAGCTCATGTGCGAGTATTGGCCCGAGGACAAGTGGGGTTCAATCAACGACGCCGACTTGAACGAAGTGGCCACTTTGGCTGAGACTGGCGAGCTTGCTGAAATTAGACAGAAGTCTGTGCAGTGGACGAAGGCGTTTCGGTCGAGCCCGAAGTTCTGTTGGCGAAAACTGATGAAAAAAAGGGAGAATAAGAAGGCGATGTGTGAAGGTCCCGGCCTTAGTGGCAACTCTCCCGGATTCGGCTGGAAGTGTAAGAGGAACTGTCGAGACTTTTGTCGAGACGAGTTCCAGAACTACTTCGGCAAGACCAGCCGCCTATTTTGGTGTAAATGCCCGATGGACGGTAGCTTCGGCGAATGGTGGACCCTCCTTGCCCTCCTGGTGAATCACTCATCATGGGCAATGCTACAAGTCTTGTCCTGCTGGCATGCAACCAAGTTTGATCCCAGGTAGATGCTCTACTGACTGCTCTCGGATACAATGGCTTGTTATGCATGTGGGTTGGGGTGCTCCAG